CGGGGCATGGGCGCAGATGAGCGAGATGTTGAAGAATCTAGCTTTGATGCGGATTGTGGCTAGACGTTCGTTCACCGGGGTGAACGCCAGTACTCAGCGACGGAGTCTATCTCCTACCACGAATACAACACCGAATTTGCGCTTCTTTACGTGGCAACTGTAGTAGAGGCTTCACGCTTACTTTTCCTTGNGCTCCTTTACGTGGCAACTGTAGTAGACGTCGCAAGGCTTCACGCTTACTTTACCTTGCCCCGTCCATCGCATTTCTTGGATGGCGGTGATGTCAGCCTTTGTCTTCCCGAGGACATCAACCAGCCGGGCAGAGGCACCTTCCCCATTAAGGGTCCGGATATTCCAGGTGCATACCCTTAAATCATAGTCCTTTATACGTTTGCCGTGGTCGTCATCAGAAAAAGGGGGTCTCATCCGAGGCTGTTTTTTTCTTTTCATTGGGCGGGTTTTAACGAAGTTTTACGCCTTCTCACTTTAGCTCGCTCCCAAACGAGTGTTTGGTTGCTACCCAGAGGATACGTGGATATAAATATCCGGACGTTGTGAGCTGCGATTTGAGCCGTACGCACAAGAATCGCTTCTGGCCAGTCCCAGGTGAAGGGCAGTCAAAAGTTTTCCACTTCTGCGCACGGAACCATCCTCCTCATGGAATTCACATCTAGATAAAACTATTCAAAAGACCAGTGCCTCTATCTGGACCTGCCGGAAACTTATGGGACGGAACTGGGGCATCAGACCTAAACTGGCTAGGTGGATGTTTGATCCCGTCTCCAAACCCATTCTTATCTATGCTGCACCCGTCTGGTGGAAGAATGTGGAAGTGAAGTCCACGCAGGCCAAGCTCAGCAAACTATACAGACTGGCCTGAGTGGGTATCACTGGCGCGATGAGAACAACACCAACGGCGGCTCTCGAGGTGCTTCTTGACCTGCCTCCCCTACACATAGTAATCAAGAAAGAGGCTCTGCTATTTACAGCAAGGCTCACCTCAGGGGACAGTGTAGAGGACAAGAAGTATGTACACCCTTCCACCCTCAGGGTTATAGAACAAGAAGATGGATTGCGCATAAGTTTTGTGGACCTGTGCCTACCGAGGTTTAACTTCTCACATAACTTCAAGGTCTTTTTCCCTGACAGGAATAACAGAGACAATGAACGACCTAAAGCCCGGAAGGACAGCCACATCTGGTATACTGACGGCTCAAAGACTGACCACGTCGTCGGAGCAGGAGTCTACGGTATACAACCCAGACTGCTCCTTTTCACCAGCATGGGGCAGGGTAATTCTGTCTTTCAGGCCGAGGTTCACGCCATTGAACTTTGGCTGAGGCAGTATGTAGAAAGTGGGGCAACCAAAAAACACATCTATATACACTCGGACAGCAGAGCGGCGCTCCTCGCTTTGAAAGCGCACGAGGTTACCTCAAAGCTGGTGTGGGATTGTGTTCAACTTTTAATACTGATCGCCTCAAGGAACCGGGTATACCTCATATGGGTACCGGGACACAGTGGAGTCATGGGCAATGAAGTGGCAGATATTCTCGCCAGGATCGGGGCTGCACAGGGATTCATAGGCCCAGGACCCTTTACCGGTCTGCCATGGAGCTCCGTTATAAGGAACTACTATATCTGGACGAAGAACGAAGCTCAACATTACTGGACCAATACGGAAGGTAACAGACAGGCCAAGTCCTTCATTCCGATTATATCAACAAGGAGAACCCAAGAACTCCTTCACCTCAGTAGGCATGAAGTAAGAATTGTTACAGGCTTTCTTACTGGCCACTGTAGGGTAATGAAACACTTGTCAAATATAGGAGTTGTCAACTCTGGCCAGTGCAGGTTGTGTAACGAAGAACAGGAAATGGCAGAGCACATTATGTGCCACTGTGAAGCCCTTACCAGGACCAGACTTCGCTTCCTAGGATCACCGTTCCTAGAAGCACACGACCTAAACGGCATTCAGCCAAAGGACCTCGCGAGGATTCTTAACAGTACGTGGATGAAAGATGACCTGTAGTTGAATGGAGGTTTGTTACAATAGATCGTTTCGGTCGCGGTAACTAGGTGACCTGCTCCCTCCTCTAAATCTAATCTAATCTAATCTACATATAAGGACTAATTGCACATACAATTTCAAACCAGTATATGGTGTGCTTCAGAAGTTAAGACATAATTAATTTTTCACCTCTTAAAAATTACATAAAAAATTCACTTATTTTTAATATTTTTTTGAATCAAAAACTGAAAAGTTATGCAACGAATTGATTAAACATTTTTTTGAGGCTCCAAGTATACGTCTATGAATTATATCCAAAAGCAACCAGCATGATATAGTTTACAACAATGAAATAAAGCTAAATAACCCAAAGGCTACCTGTTTTTTAGATTTGCCCAAATGCTTAAATTTTACTTCTTAATTTCGGGGGTTACTACTAGTTTTAGTAAATTATCAGTTTAATTTCTTGTAAAATTTATCTTTAGATTTATGCATCTTAAGCACAAATCAATGTGAGGTAATTGCAGAAACAATTAACCTGTTTGCTGAGCAACCGAGATGTCTGCTTTTTAAATAACACAGGTTTACAATGAAGAAGTGTCTGCATACTGAACCAAATCTCAATATCCCTATGTTATTCGATGCGCTGAATGCGAATCCGACGTCTGTTCAATATGCATAAGCTTTTTTTTGTACACCTGTTTAATTTTTGTAAAACAAATCGGCAAGCGTGATTCAATAATTAAAGGTTTACTCTTTAGTGACATTAGAGTTTTGACACTCCCTTTGCTCCCTTACAAAAGCGTTGCACACACACACGAACCCACACACAAGGCCTTTCTAAGGAAGCCGATTTTGTCAAGAGGGAGCGAGAAAACTGTTTTTTGAGCAAACCTTTTATTACTGAATCATGATCGGCAAGTACATATCGTCCCTCGCATGCGATACGATTACGATACTTAACTCTGCATTCAAGTAATTGACATTGTGAAATATGTGTTTTCCGTGTACGCACGGTATTCTGGGTTTTGGTATAACATAGAATATCCAAAAATTAATCAAGTCAACCCAATAACTCAAAATTGGTAAATTTGCACATTCATGCTTCTGTTCATCTGTTCTGTTCTTCATATGTTCTACATATTTTTGTAGTATGAAAATAGTAGCTATATTTCAGGGTTCGGAAATATTCATATATGAATCTTCGCGAACGTGAAGCAAAAAACCAGTCCAGATAGTTCGCGTTCGCGAATGTTAGGTGGAAATAATTTCCGCTGTTGTTCGTACGGGTATGTATTGGCGGACCAAACAGCGTGCGTTCATATATGTAGCTATAAGTGGCAGCGATGCCTTCGCGAAGGTTCACTGCTGTCGTTCTCCTTCATAAATGAATGAAAATGCTGCGGCAAATATTCGCGGAAAGTTGGTGTGGCTAGAGATACTATTCTGTGCGAAGGCAATTTTGTTAATTGCATAAGATTTGCACCGTTCATTCGATTTTCAAAAATGAGGTGTCAAATGAAAGGGCTTGCCCTCTAAATTTGTAGCAAGGATATATTTTTTTTAAGGGTTGCCATCTGCGTTTAAAATTGTGATATTTACACCGTTCTCCCGATTTTCAAAAATGAGGTGTCAAATGAAAGGGCTTGGCCTCTGGATGTGGAGAAAGGATATATTTTTTTGACAGGGTTGCCACCTGCGTTTAAAATTGTGATATTTACACCGTTCTCCCGATTTTCAAAAATGAGGTGTTAAATGAAAGGGCTTGCCCTCTAAATTTGTAGCAAGGATATATTTTTTTTACAGGGTTGCCACCTGCGTTTAAAATTATGGTATTTACACCGTTCTCCCGATTTTCAAAAATGAGGTGTCAAAAGGAAAGGTTCAGCCTCTATGTATAAAATAAGGTTTTATTTTTTAAATATTGTTTGAAATTTCATATTAAAGAAATATTTATTTCCGCACTTACATCTATGTATTCGTAAATATGTATTTAAATATGTATGTATGTACATGAAATTACTTAAATTAAAACTCATAAAGATAATTCATATTTTATGTACATGAGTCTGTATATTTATTAATTTCTGCACTTGAATTTGTATACGAACATACATACGTATGTAAATAAAAGCTGATTAAAACAAATATTTTTGCTTAGTTGCTATCTTCAACATCTAGTGTTGAAAATTTTAGGAGCTCAAAGTTTAGTTTTGTAATTAATAAATTTGACAGCGATTTCTTTGAAAGTTTTGTTCGCAGTTTAGTTAATATTGTTGAAAGTGCACTGAACGCTCTTTCAACAGACTTGTGTTGCAGGTATGGCTAGTACAACTTCCATTAATTGTAACATATCGGCATCATTCCGATATAATTTTCGAAAGTTGTCCAAAATATTGCTATCAAATGACTCCATTTCCCTATCGCAAAGTTTAGCTAGTCTTTCCTTAAAGGCCATTTCTCCTCTTTGTGGTGTTGGCCCTTGTGCATTTCTCATTGCGTTTACGTGAAGTGTCAGTATGTCATATATGCCTTTTAAAATGCCTTACTGAATACGGTATCAGCATAAACCAAATTTACTCTAGCACCACTGATAACGGTGCAAATGTTGTCAGAATGTCCAAATTGTTACAAGAAATGCAACAGGACAACTTTTCTAATGACGAGGACATTGAAACGGATTATGCCGAATCAAACAGTATCCAGTCGCAAATTGCTTCTGTTTTCTCTGTTGTTCGTTGTGCCGCACATACAATACAGTTAGCAGCCTATGATGTTTTGAAAACAATAGAAGGGGACATTAAAGAATGCCGAAACATTGTAAAGATATTACGGACATCGGTAAGATCGGGTAATGTCGAAATTAGTTTGCCATGCCTTGACAATGCAACTAGATGGAACTCGACCTATGAAATGATAAAATCCATAATCAGTATAAGAGATTACATAGATAATCTGTCACATATTAACGTCAACTGGATATTTGTACAAAATTTCCTAGCTGCTTTTCATCCAATAGCTAAATGCACTCTAAAACTGCAACACGATCAATATATTATTGAAGACTTTTTTAGAGATTGGCTAACATGTGAATTGGAGCTTAAAAAGTTAGTGTCTACCAATTCATATGCGGAAGCTCTTCTAAATGCAATGAAGAAAAGGAAAGATACACTTATGGGAAATAATGCATTTATTGCTGCACTTTATATGGATCCGCGCTTTAATTTCGACAACACCCCTCTTCTAAGCTATGATCAAAAGCAAGCTGCTGTGGTAATTATAAATATTTTGATTTTGATATATTTTTTTATATCTTAATTTGAATATTGCTTATTAATATTTTGATTTTGCTATTTTTCCTTTATTTGCAGGATCATTTAATTAGGACACGTGATATGATAAATAAAATTGGCAAGCCATCAGAAGACCAGTACGGCAACAGTTCTCCAGATCTTCCAACCCAGTCGCTTCCCCAAGATGAACTTCCCTCCACATCGAAAGGCATATATGACATACTGACACTTCACGTAAACGCAATGAGAAATGCACAAGGTCCAACACCACAAAGAGGAGAAATGGCCTTTAAGGAAAGACTAGCTAAACTTTGCGATAGGGAAATGGAGTCATTTGATAGCAATATTTTGGACAACTTTCGAAAATTATATCGGAATGATGCCGATATGTTACAATTAATGGAAGTTGTACTAGCCATACCTGCAACACAAGTTCTGTTGAAAGAGCGTTCAGTGCACTTCCAACAATATTAACCAAAGAACGTAAATGTATAAGAAGCGACAACTCGTTAAAGTCGGCGAGTGAGGTCTGAAAGGTTGAGATGAGGAGTTCGCGTCCGTTTTAACATCCATTTTCGTAAATGAATTCGCCGCACATATGGATTCGCGGCGATAAAGAACGTTAAGAAAAAGTGACCGATGATAGAAATAATAAAATGAAATGAAAAAAAACATGGCCGCAGCTCTTTTTGTTTATTTGCTGACGGCATTTAACAATTTGCATGCGCATGTGCATAGATTTACTTTATTTTATAATTTTAAACAAATATAAGTGAATTAAATACATGCGCTATGCAAGACCTTTATAAGCTTCCTCTTTAGTATGGAAGTTGTAAAGTTGTAATTTATGGATGAAATTACCCTTTTGATATCAACCAAATGTACATTTGTAATCAATAAATTTATTTAATATACTCATACGATTTCCCTCCAAACATTTCACATTCATGCAAATACGCGTACGTGCATACATATGTATGTAAAAGCGCATATGCGACTAAAACACAACAGTAACAATTTCATTCATAAACGCATGCGCATATTCTTCAAGGTCAAACTCATTCATTCATAAATTCAATGACCATACTTCTCCCCGCAAACTCATCACCCACAAGCGCAACTTCTGCGCGAGGGCCACAAAAATTCTAAAATGTAAAATTGAAGAAATCACAGCCAGTCAAATGAAAAGTTGCAACTCAGCAGTAAAATCTGAGGACATTTGCAAAAATAACTTATCTCGATCTTAGCAATTATTTCTCTAAATTTCTAAATCACAGTGCTCCTTCTAACTTTTAAACAATTAACTAGTTGCTTAAGATTTTATTTTAATAAAAAAACAAAATAAACATAAATTTTTTGCAAAAATTACCCATGATATATTGTTGTAAACTCAAAACTTCTGAAATCACATACATAAGTGGTTTTACAACAAATGGAATTTGGCAACATGGTTGCCTTCACCAGCTTCGGTCATCAATTTAAAAATTTTTGTAAACCGATCGCCTACGATTTGTTTACAGTTGACTCTAGATACTAAGAGCAACATGTATACGAATTCAAAAAATTTAATTATTTTGCATTATTGATAATTGCAAAGCTCTGAAGCATGTATAAGTGAGTGTATACATACAGACCTATTCTCCGTTGGTAACACAAATTTTGTTTACTATCATCAAAAGCGATAAACACAAAAAATCGTACATTAACAAGCCTATTCTGCGTTGGTCATTTTTTTTACCGAAAAATATAGTTCCTCTCTTTTTTTAACCCTTTTCTCATTCTGCAAACTCTCGTAACCGGTAAAATTTGTTTGCATCTCATAAGCAGGTAACAAAATATTACCCCATGAAATATGCAACAACAGAATTTCTAAAAAACTTCATAGCTGAAATGCGGAATAAATTAAAATATTAGTTAGATAATTAGACTTGTGGTAACAATGTTTGGTAACAGAATTTGCTGGTTAGAAAATTTTCGGTAATAAGCAAAATGGGCTTCAAGATGTTCATGTTAGGAGCAGCCTACTGTAAGCGTACATATGTATGTGCGTAAATATGTCAGGACGCGGCATTTTGGAGGAATTTAAGAACTTGTCAAGATAAATATGGCGGAGGACGTGGGAAAGACGGAGACAACTTATGTTTCATATTTATAGGTTTTTTTAGGCGGAGGATGTGAGAAAGACGGAGACAACTGATTTTTCGCATTTACGCGTTTATTTTTGGCATGCTTATGAACCAAAACTTGAAAACATTTATTCTTGCCCGATAATAACAAAATGTATGCATACTCATGTATAAATGCATAGATTTAAATTAAACTTATGCCATCTGTATATAATAAACATTGGTTTTGTAATAAAGCCGCTGTATACACACTTTATCCATCAAATCTACCAACACATCATTTTTTTGCATACTTTAAATATGTAAATTTCCAGATGAAAACAAAACATAAGTACACTCATATATAAATGCATAGATTTCTTATTAAACTAATGCATTTTTATATAAAAGTACACTGATTTTGTTTAAAATACTGATCACTTTTATGCACAGACACCAACAATCGACACTTGTTGACAAACACTTCGCACTTACAAACACTTTATTATGAATATGGACACTTTCACATACATGCACTTCAGTATTTTACACATTCACTGAATACTATATATTTTACACCTTCTTTTATTTATTTCCTATATTAAAATACACTTTTCAACAACTTGCGCAAAACAATCACCGAAATTNTGAATGATGTTCTTCTATAAAGATTTCTGAGAAATACTAACGACCATAATTTCTTGAGAATGCATTCCATTATTGTTAGTGGTATGCACATTATAACGAATTTCTTTCACAATATTAACTAAACTGCGAACAAAACTTTCAAAGAAATCGCTGTCAAATTTATTAATTACAAAACTAAACTTTGAGCTCCTAAAATTTTCAACACTAGATGTTGAAGATAGCAACTAAGCAAAAATATTTGTTTTAATCAGCTTTTATTTACATACGTATGTATGTTCGTATACAAATTCAAGTGCAGAAATTAATAAATATACAGACTTGTGTACATAAAATATGAATTATCTTTATGAGTTTCAATTTAAGTAATTTCATGTACATACATACATATTTTAATACATATTTACGAATACATAGATGTAAGTGCGGAAATAAATAC